CTTAAGCTCACATTTACAACTAAACCGCATTTGACAATCACTACACTGAGAATTTTATTTAGTCGCACTGCGGTGGTTCCGTTAAGTGGATGCATTGAGCATCTTCGGCTGGATAAACAGCTGGTCGATTTGAGTAAATCGAAAACCGCAAAAGGAGTGCAACCAGGCTGTAATGTACGAAATGTTCGCCTCATAACAATGGTATCTGAGCGTTCCACAGCTGTCTTTCACGGTATTAGTGCGAATAAAGGTGATCTGGAACTGACGCTCCGTTTCAAAACAACGCGACCTTCCGGAGTTCTTGCTTCAGTGATTTCCGATGAGCAGGTAATCTTTTGCACATTAAAGCAGCTACCGTGCATTGATGACTGTCAGTTACAGACAGTAAGTTTTTTCATTTTCTGTCAAAAAACGATGCCTGTATTTTTGGAATCAGAAATATCGAATTTCGTTCAGTTAATTCCTTCGCCGTCTGGTTCCATTTTGCGCTCCCCTTGCATGCTTATTCTCCTTTCAACAGCATTTTACTACGATGGCTCCTTTGATAACAGACTGCGTGGAATAGTGACTATCAGGCAGGGTTTTGCTAGGCGTGACTAGCTTCTAGAGTTACGGATTGTAAAGGTTACAAATTTTGTTTGCCTCAGTGCATTTAATCACTTTGTAGCATTTTTTATACCTTATAGGAAGCGCTGCTGCAATTACGTTATGAATATGGATTCATTGTGACTGAGTACGGGTCGGATCGTAAGGATGTTGTGAAAATTGAGTTTGGCTTAGCTTCTGACGGTCAGTGGCATTACGTTGCTGCTGCGGTGAAGTCACACATCTTGAGGCTGGATGTGGATGATCTGTATTCAAGCGAAATTCGGAGGACAGTCCCGCTCAATGAGGTTTCTGTTGTTCAATAGTTTTGGAACACTTCTGCAAGCTATGTGGTTGTGCTTCTTTGACCTGTACTAATCTTTTTTTTTCGTGAATTTATCTTCAGCTAACTAAAAACTTTGCGAGAGGAACAGGAGGGAGAGAGGAAGGGCAAGGGGGGGGGGGGG